TAACCTGCACCAGGGAAGAACTTTCCTGACACTAGAATTCCTCCTCTGAATTCAAGCCTTTGAAGCCAAGTTATATGAAAAGTGTTTTTAACTCCTTATGAGGACCAAGAAAAGTTGCATGTGTTTGCTTGCTTATGGTAAGAAACAAAACTGCAGTAAACAATGCAATCAACATCTTTGATCTGAACACTGCCTGTACTTGATTAAACCTTGAATTTAAAATTAAGCTCGAGAAGATAAACTGAAGTAACCCATCACGGAGTCTCGCCAGAGAGGCAAGCGTGGCAGGAAAAGCTGGTATTAGAATGGTAGCGCAGGCATAAGTTTGGATTAAGCGTCTTGTGAAACTGAACCTAAACTGTATACTGCTAGGGAAATGGGTAGTCCTACTCTCTTGCGTGCTCTATCGCTTCAGATCGAGCAGACATGCTGAGTCAAATTATTTGGCTAATTGACCAAAAACAAACAGCGGCACAGGAAGCATGTGTGAGAGACGCTGGTTTCAGTCACATCAAAAAGTGGATTCAAACCACTAAGTGGTCACAAAACCCCACCGAAGTCAGAGGGCAAGAATGCATGACCTGGGACAGTAATCCCAAATGACAAAATGCATCCCAAAAACTCACCGGTGTAAGAGACTGTTAGTGAGCAGTTATTTTAACAGAAATAGTTGCACTTACTCTCCTTCCTGAACAAGATGGCATTACTAATTTCAAGTAGGTACTACAACCTGTCCTAGAGCAGGCATTAACGAATCCGGTCCCCGGACAGTGGCATCACCTAATAGCTACTGCCACGTGGGATAAAGGGCTGGATGTATTTACCTTTCTAAACAAAACCTGAAATGCTGGGTTTAAGTTTCATGTTAATCAAGCGCTCAAGAACTACAGGTTGAATTTGATACAGCCACACAAGAGAGACTGATCTCAAGTCTGAGGTTATTTCCCAGTACACTTCATTTTTGGCTCTGGTAGGCAAGCTTGCTTTTTGTGTTGCTAATACAAAGCATCCAACTTAAGAAAAAAATAAGGTTTTGTATTTACTCTTGAGAAAACAGCAAGTAAATACAGCTGTTAACATACAAATCTAAAACAAAGACCTAAAAACCAGCTTATCACATACACGTTATAAAGGACTTCACAAAATAATTCAGAAATTGAAATGCGGACATACATGCAACAATATGCCTTAAACAGATGTTCAGCCTTTGAATATGTTTGTCTCTAACAAGTAAGGAGCCACGTCACGTCCATCCCTCCACCCAATACAGTTAAACTCCTCCCCAGGAGGCATGACCATAACTTGTTTCTAGTATTCAAAGTCTCAGCTGCAACTGAATTGCCCAGGAAATAGCAGAATTGCTATGGGAAAGAAAAAAAGAAAAAAAAAAAAAGAGGTAAACTATTTTAGGAACTGAAGTTCAGCCTACTTTTTTTTTTTTTTTAATGTGAAAGAGGAACCTGAAGCCACTTCTTCCACAGAATGAGAATGCTTTAAATCAGTATTACATCTCTCTTGCATGTAAACCGTAATTTTTTTTGCAGATAACGCAGCATGTGTGAGTTAAGCAGATTTCTTTTTCTGTCACTGTGAAATTAGCCCACATTCAAGTTTGATGGTATTCCCTTTCCCCACAACTCCCAAATGTCACAAGTTAATAGGAATTTACATTTTTAAATATTACAATTTCTTTGACACATGGCAGCTGTAGATATTAAGAATCTTCTAAGACTTTAAACAGTGCTTGCAAAACTGGCTAAGGAAAAGTGTGCTTCTCTGGAAAAAAACAAACAAACAAACAAAACCCCTGAAATTATTTTAAATCCATTAATATTTGTTTGTCAGTAGTTTCCTCAAAAATGGTATCACCCAACAAGCAGGCATATACAGTTCCGAGAGGACCACCCCTTGTTTTATCAAAAGAACATTCAGGACACCCAAGAGCAATAAAATGTTTCAGTGGATTATCGTCCCGTAGGTCAGCTAACTGCCCGCGTGACTCATTTCCCACCTCCCAGCTCCAGAGGAAGCAGCCCGGGCAACCGAGAGTAAGGCGACGAGCCGCAATACCTATTTGGTAACCGCCCGCAGACTTTGGACTCCTTCTTCTTGGGTGATGGCCCAAGCCTGCGTATGCAGACAGCTAACAGGGCCACCAGCAGCTAGCGCTCACTCCAAACAGCATGGCGGACGTGTGGCAACACGTGAAACGGGGAAATCGCATTGATCAAAACACAATTCTTCAGTTATTTCTAAACCACACCACTGCCCGTAACTGGATCGGAACCATTTTGCCCGCCCCTCTTCTTCACCCCAGAGAGCAGGAACCTGTAATCCCCAAGTGACCAAAGGAAGGGAGCGCCAGCATCACAGCAGCAGCTTAAAACTTAACTCTAAATAACATGCTGTATCCTACCTTCTCTACCAATCCTTGCGTGCCCTAACTGTGGATCTCAAGTGCTACGTAGCCCTCCCGTCCCTCCAGAAGCGCTTTTGTAGGAATGCTACTACACAAGGAAAGAAGTTGATTCAACAGGAACTGTAGACGGTCTTGTTTCTCCTCCTCCTCCGCGGCTTTTGTATTAACACCAATCCCCACCTTTTTGTTTTGCTCTTCCTGTACCGCAGAGCATGTCTTTGAGAGACTCCCAGGTACAAGTGAGCTGTCAACTCTGGATGAGTTATGCTAACAATAGACAGATAGCTTCTAAAATCTGCTGGGAAAATATAACCCCAAATACCTAAACTCTCAGCATTAAAAAAAAAAAAGGCAACGTCACCTTTTCTACTCCCCTTCCTCCATTAACATTAAACAGCATCAACTGGAAGATCCATCCAAAATTGGACAGACACCTGACCATTCTGGCAAAATGCTAATTTTAAAAAAGCAGTTCTTATTGAAAGCTGATGATTTAATTGCTTTTATTTTCATGCTGCTGCACATTAAAGACAAAAATAATAGCGTCCTTGGGGCAGAGGGTGAGAAAGCTAGAGATCAAGTAGTTTGATCAGCAATACAGTGGAAATATCTATTAATGAAAATCCACCATACTTGAAAAAACAGATGAGGAGCAGGGAGGTGGTGCCCTAAGATTCCTCAGGAATAAAAACAAGACAGCACTCTGTATCGATACAGACATAGACAGCTAATCACTAACAGGATTCACATGGCATCTCTAGGTCCACAACCATCATAACCAACGCTCTCAAAGAGGCAAAAGTTCATCCCTAAGCTGTAGGTGTAGCAACTGCACGCCTAAATGTTGTCAACTGCATAGACTCCTGATCCCCTCGTCTTCCATTATGAATTCTTCAGCCTTGAACAGTTTAACTGCGTTGTCATGGTATTCCTCACCTCAATTGTCTCTTTTAAGAGAAAGAACTTGGTATTTCATGAGTACCAGAATCTCTAGATTTGGTTTTCTGATATGCCTAAGAAAGAAAAAGTTAAGTTCCTTTATCGATACTTCAGTTCCAGGTTATTAAAAAAAAGATCAGCCTAATTACCTTTTTGTGTAGGTGGTTGCAGCACTGTTGACTGATGCATGAAACAGAATTCTGAAGTTCAGGGCAAAACAAGTAGTTAATTACACTGAAATGCATTTATAGCAACTTTAATAGTGGTGTTATCAAGTAGACAGAAGTAACATCTCAAATCAGTTAAGTCTCAGTTGCTCACCTTTTATATTTCTGTTGTTCTGGATGCTCCAAGACAAGTCTTCCTTAATTTTTAGTTGATAGCTATGAACTGCTTGGCATCAAAAGGATGTGATCACATTTTGTCTAGCATTAGTTTTCTCTGTGACAAGCTACTCCATTTAAATAGACTTTACTCTGCACAATCCTGGCAGACAGCATTCATTACTAGAGCCGAGCAAGTTATGAATAATGTGATTTATTCTGGAATTTTGGGCTTTCTGTTCAAGATACCAAAGCAGATAATACATCTCTATTAATCCTCTTTGGAAATCTTCAGACAAATTCACTCACTCAGTACCTCTCAAAAGAAGTTAGCAGCAAATAAGCTCCGTAGGGGTCTTAGCATAGAGGTGAAATCTGTTCACTGCCTACATATTTTCTTCTCTGTAACTCATTTCATTATCTGCAAGAGCTATCAATAAGTACACCACATAACTCATTTCCAGACCGGTCCATCAGAATCCTTAACCAAGTTTCAGGTGAAAAATTAAAACAAAGTTTTCATACAACATGATTTCAGCAGTAAGTTTCTTCACAGGAACTTTCATCAGCAATTGGGTGGGGAATATAAAAAAAAAAATAGTAGTTTCAAATGTGTGCTCCTGTCTAAGTACTGCTTCTGTGAAGTACTGTAACTAACAAAAATGGTACAAAAGTGTCTTTTTGACTGGAGTGTACAAACTGAAACTAATCACACCTGGACTAAGCTCTCAAACATGCTAGAGGGTGCGACTGAAACAGAGAAGTAGTCAACCAAAAAGTGAACACCTACAAACCAAGAAACCCGGTAATAGAGTGCAAAAGGGTTTAAAAAGGTTTTAAAAAACAAAAAAACAAAACAAAACCACAAGCAAAAAAAACCCTAAACCCAAACCCCAAAACACACAAAAAAAACCCCCAAGCGACCACACCCCACCACCTATACCGTACTAACAAACCATGAAAATCAGAAATGCTTCCAAATTCAGCATTAGGTCGAGTAAGAAAAGAACCTAAACAGCAACAAAACTGCTTTTTCTTAGCACTGCAGCTTAATTAGAGAGCTCAGTCCAGCTCCAGACTCTGCCTGGTAATATACTCGCCAAACTTGCTTTCATGTGGAGTGGACAGAAATTTTACACTCTTAAAACCCCTCACATATACGCTACTTCAGCCAAGGTAGCATCCCCAGTGTTTGTTTCCTAGATCTGCTATAAGTATTTAGGTCACATATTGAAGAGAAAAAGGGAAGGGAAGGCTGATTATTTTTTAATCAAATATAACCCACATGTAATATTTAAAAATCAAGACTAAAAGCAGGCATCATTTAATGTATTTTAATAGCAAACTTACAGGAACAGCACAGAAGACAGACAACATTAAAAACATGTACTTGCATGTAGGACAACTCAGTTAGAAAAGTATAGTGAATGGATGGAATCTACTGTATGATAAAAATGCTACAAACACCATTTAGTTGCCATTGATAAGAAATTTACTTGTTTAAAAAAATCCAAATGCTGGCATTGTCCAGAAAAATTTGACAGGTTTATTTATAATTTTTTTTTTTATAAAGTTGAATTGTTGAAACTTGTTCACTGAAACATTTTTTGACCACATTGATGTTTTATGTCCCCTCGTTTATATTAAAAATCCACACACAAATGAAAATGGAAAAAAACTTGCCAATACCCAATTCTGTCCCCTATTTTTCCATTTGCAACCATATACTTAGGTACCTTTTAACCCCATGGAAAAAATATCTAACGTTCATTACTACCAATAACAGGAAGAAGATTTTGCTTCGAGAATGACAAACCCATCATAGTGACGTTTAGGCACGCTCTCCACGTATGCGGCGTGCTAGCTGGATATCTTTTGGCATGATTGTGACACGTTTGGCATGGATAGCACACAGGTTGGTATCTTCAAACAGGCCAACCAAGTAGGCTTCACTTGCCTCCTAGTGAAGAAGAAAAGAGTTAAGAGTGCTTTCAGTCTCTGAACACTAGGAAAATAATAATAATAAATAATTCAAAGTACAATGTAACATGGCATTAAGCTTAGGCTTCTATCTTTATTACTTGCGAACATCAAAAGTTTTAGATTCTCAAGAAATAAAAACCTCCGTTTTCTTATAAACCACCAAATAATATGTCAAATAATGGATTTCTTATAAACCATCAAAAAATATGTCAAAGTCGCATACTATTGCCATTCGGTGAAGACATCATCCGGAACACAACTGAACCAGTGTTCTGACAGGAACTCTCACAAGATAAGGGGTTATCTTATCAAAAGGTTAGTTTGTTTAGGAACTTCTCTCTTCAAAGTCTGGGTTACACTATTCGAATGATTTGTCTGCAGCCTCTTCCAGAGTAAGAGCTATTGAGCTTCAAGTGAAATTGGCAGGTGCTAGGGAAAAGAAGAGCAGGTGTTCCTTCACAACGCACAGTTCGGGCACACAGCTCCTCCCGATACTGAAGAGGTGGCTTAATTCAAAAGTCAAGAATTAGCAGAAAAAATGTACTGAGAATTATTAGATATAAGACGACAACACCTTTGACTCGGGAACTCCTTGAATCGCCAAAACCAGGACAGCAGCCTGAGAATTACCGTCAGACACTTGCCCTATTCCTATACTTTCTTCCAGCGTAAGCGCCCCCCGTCTATTTGGGGCACACACCACAGCTCCCCCATGATCACAAAAGGTTCTCGCCTCACACCTGTGAGCATCACGGGGTCAGCACTTGGGAGGGCAAAGGACAAGCCCTGTCTTGGGAAAACCACAACCCTGGCCACAGTGTTTTCTCTGTCACAGAGCCACTGCAGACAGGATTCTGGGTTAGACAGATGCTGCGTTGGACCTGACTATGCTTCTGGCTCACGTTAAGTAAGCTGCTATTAAGCCCAGCCCAGCACAGCAATGGTAACCGTTTACACGTTTTTGGGTTGACACGGAATTCTAACACCTAACAATCTCCTAGGAAGCATCTCGGCATGCCAACATCAGACCAGCACGCGGACCAGGACACAGCACACGGTTGGGGTGAGAAGGCAGGAATGATGGGGCTCGCTTACAGCACGGAGGCTGAGGTCCACCGTTCTAGAATACATGCAAGAGAACAGCTTGTGTGAAGCATTTCATTACCGGGAACCACAAAATCAACTTACTAAGTTCAAAGTTCCTGTTTAAAAACGCAGAGCATTTAATACAAGGAAAGAAAAATATTTACTACAGCAGATGAGGACTGTAGTATTAGTAAGTCATTTCATATCCAGTAGGATATAGCTACCACAAGTTCCCCTCACACAGTTTTGCCAAATCACTACGGGAAAAGTTAAGACACTTCACCAAATAAGCCATGCTGGCACGAACAACGTGGTACTACAGGGGTTAGAAGGTTTTTTTGCAAATACGCAAGCAGGAAGCACTAGGAACGGTACATGAACAAGTTCTATACCAGCAACTCCTTAACGCAAAACCAGCCTTCTGAAAATGTATTAACTACTGACTAATTTTAATAAGCGGTTCCTGATAAAGAGACACATAGGTAAACCTCAGGATTTAAGAACTACCACGTTCACTCACAGCAGTGAAGACAGAACAACAACTAAAAGCAAAAGCAGCAACTTTGCAAATGCACGCAGCCACCTTTTGAAGCTAAGCACGTGCTCAAGTTTAGCATCTCACGGCATATGTTTCGGCCCTTATCAAGTGGAAGCCATTAACCAGAAAAAGGCAATTTTGCCTGGATATCAGGTATTGTACAATTGCAGACAGGTTCCGGAACAATCTTTCAACAGCTACAAGAACAGTGAAGACCTATCTTTAATCAGGAGTGTATTTCTCTCACGAGAGGAAAACATTCCCGTGACAAGGACACCGTCTTGGAGGGGACCTAACTTCGATGCAGGAATTTGGGGCAGAAAGAGCAATCAGTATTTCACCCTCAATATACTCTAAGTAAGTTATTCAACTAATACCTTAAAAAAAAGTGTTTAGCATCAACTACATCATAGAAAAGCACTTATTTCCCTCACCATGCTTAGACGTGGCTTATCGAGCTGTTTCTCTTTAAAGGGCATTTGAGGATACCAAGACCCCCCCACTCGGACAGACTAGAACAAGCTTTACACGACAATGCTTTCCTCTCAGACTGCACAGCTTTCAAAGGCAAAACCTCCAGCAAAGCTCGAGGGCAGAGGAAACAGATTTATGTTAAGTGTCCTAATGAGACGCCCCGTTCTGTCAAGTGCAACTACTTGGGGGGTGGGGGCTATTAAAAAAAAAAAAACAACCCCAGACAAACCATAAAAGCAAACCCAAGCCGTCGTCCCCCCCCCGTTTATGGCCTTTGTAAAGAGCTGCGGACCTGTGACCGAGTTATTTTAGCCTGTGGTATCTGTAGGGCATCACCAGGGCCACTCTGAGCAAGGGAAGGCTGAGGGGCGCATCCCCCCACATCAGCCCCCGGCCCAGGAGGGGCCACGCCCACCGCGGCAGCCCACCAATCGGGCAGAGCCGGGGCTAACCCTAGAAACAGCCTGGCCAATGGGGGCGGGGGGCGGAGCCCTCCCTTACCTTCAGTCCCCAGGTTTTGGGGGCTTTGGCGGGGGCCCCCTGTGACAGCACTTACAGCACCGAGCCCTGCCTACCGACAGGCAGCCCCCCCCTCCAGGACCCCCCCAAGGCTGCCGCCCGGACGGGGTGCTCCCCTCGGTAACGCTCACCTGCAAAGCACCGATGGCAGCGCTCTGGAAGCGCAGATCTGTTTTGAAGTCCTGAGCAATTTCACGCACCAGACGCTGGAAGGGAAGTTTGCGGATCAAAAGTTCGGTAGACTTTTGATAGCGTCTGATTTCACGGAGAGCCACGGTACCCGGCCTTTTAAAATTAAAAAAAAATAATAAAATAAAAAAAAAAAGGGATTAGTATTCAAAACATATTCTGCATCACCTTAAAAATACGGGTTCGTCACCTAAGCTAAACCAAGCACCATACACGGTCTGTGTTCGCTAGAAGAGCCCCAGCGTTTACAAGGCAAAAGCAGTTCCACCGGCGAAGGGTCACGCTTTTCTCACCACCCATCCGCGCAAGCTTCCGCTGGCCTCAACAGGGACCCCTCAGGCGGACGCCCGAGGCCCTGACCTCACGAAGGGACGAGGCGAACGCTGGCTAACCGGCACCAACGCATCCCGGTGGGGAGGTGGCAAACCGCAAGGCTGCCGCAAGTTAGCCGCTTCGGGCCGCGCCGCAGGTACCCCCCCAGCGACCAGCCTGACAGCGAGCACGGCTTTAAGGGGAACCTGCTTCCTCTTCCCCACTGACAGAAGACACCGCCAACATTCACGGGACTAACAGAGTTTATGCCCCGTGTTACACTATCAGTACAAAGCGCCTAGCGTATTTCCTTGCGTTAAGTTTTGGTGTCAGAACGACAAAATTCAGACCGACAGCGTACTTCGGCAGACACAAAGTCCAACCGTGAAATTAATGCCACGTTTATTTCCGCGGAAACTTTGTATTTTCCTACTCCAGCTTTGCTGCCTTTCTCCCAGACTATTAATTCCGCCTCGCACCTACAGCGACACGCTTTTAGATTAAGCTCACTATTTCGCAGCCGCTTCTCCTTCCCAGTCCACTTTTCCCCCAGGGAAGCCGCGCGCCTAAGCCCACGATCATCCCCCACGCCGAAGCAGGACCGTCACCCTCCTGGACCGAGCAAGGACCTCCCCGGGTGGAAGACATCATTACGAGAGGACCGACAAAAAGCTCCACCGCTCCTTCCTTCCCCTACACCCTC